CCATACAGAGCTTCATTTCCCAATATATCCTTTTGAAAACGCGGATATGCGTGGCATCACTGTGTTATATTGTGAGTGGATATCAATTACCTAAAGATTTCTGTTTTGGAGGGAAGTAAAGACAGCCAATCTGAAGGACCTGCACGTTCTGCACAGTCTCCAGTTGCAGGACTTTATTCACAAGTCATGTATTTCTCTTCCATGAGAGTACAAGTGGTAATATTAATCTTGTTATATCAAATACACTTTCTGCGAGTGGTTTTTGATTGATAAAAAAATGTTGCAATAGCTGTTTGATACTATTGCGTACAGAAAAAGTTAACTAATAGTACGAACAGGTGTAAAAGGCAAATAAGGTTTGTAGAGTGTCAGCTTTTTTATAGTAGCAATTTTAATATAGAATTCAAATGCAGTGAATGTTAACATAGGGAGTGAACTTACAAATCAAGGTGAATATGAATAATTGCACAAACTCAGTGGAGGAAATACACATAAATTCATCTGATTCGACTAGCGTAGTGTAATTTCTCACAATGTTAAAATACAGTTGTTGCACTTCTAATATCTCAATTCCAGTCATACATCGAAACTTGAGATGTTCTCTCTGCACACCTATTTTTTATTTCTTTATTCGATTGAAGCATCCCACTTTTGAATGAACCTTGTTCCTACAGGGTATCATATACAATGATTGGATGATAAGAGAGTATGAGTATTTCTGGAGTAATGTCACGTGTCTTTCTCCGAAAAGCTTTTGCCGGATCGCCAGTCTAATTTTCAAATCACTTTCCATGCATATGCTTACGTTAATGTTTCGCTGAATCAACTGATTAAAATGCCTAATTTCTTTAAAGCGCCTTTACAAATCAACATATCTACGAGTTGTCATTTTTTAGACAGTATTGCACTTTAATACTTATAACTACTTGGTACTGAGGCCCTATTCCATAAAAAGTATGGTGTAATAATTGCGAGTCAATTCACTTGTAACTTGTACTAGTCCGAAATATTGTGTTCCACACACGGTATAGTAGTACTACTTCATATTAGTTACAAAAACCATATCCGCATGTTGGATGCTTATGCTCCATAAAGGTACAACTGATTCTAGTGTGGTAGAAAAAGGACTAGCTTATTGGTACAAGAAACAAACAGATGATAGTAACTCCACTTATAGAGAGATATTTGAAATGTGCTGATTTTTTTAGTAGTACTAACTTCAGTATAGAGTTCGAATTCAACGGATGGTAACATAGGGGACTTAAAATACCAGCCAAGATCTACTACATAAAATATAGCTAACTCTGCACGATCTTCTTTTTAAATAAAACGTGTTTTGATGTCATACATTTTTCGAATAGCCAAATAACTATTCAAATATACTCCCTAGAAGCATTATGCGATTCGGTCTTGTGAGTCAAATCATGATGCCGCCACACGTTTGACCTACCAGACAAACTTGGCACACTTCCATTACGTATTTTAACTTTTAAGAACTCCTTTCATCGAGGACAGGCCGGTAAGGTTGATCGTAGTATTTTCCAGCTTAATAAACTTGAAGAGTTCAAAATCGGATCTGTCAGATGTATCTTACACATTTTTGGCAGATGCAGTACCTCGATATTTGAGTTTAGTATAGAAGCACATTTCTTACAGAAAGGTCCCCTCTCTGATAATAACCCAAATGAGACAAGTTTTACCATCTATACTCAAGTTCGTTGCAGGAAGTCTCAAAACTTTCTTGCATAATGTGTGTCTCTTAGATTTCTTAAAAGAACTTCACGCTCACGCTGTCTGTAGTAACAATTTGCAAGTGCAAGTAGCTGTCTCAAAACTTTGTCACCTAAAACGGCATCTTTTCTAATGTTAGACAAGAATTGCGTCCTTCTATAAACCAAAAAGCTACTTGACACTGCTTTCCTACTACGAGATCTGTTTCATAAACCATAAACAGATCTTACAGTTCACCAATGCTTACGTGCATCATGTGACGCCGCTCGAGTAGGTCTGACACAGCGTATCGTATCCTATGCTGATTATTATTCTCCTATAAGAAATATATAATGGAAAATGGAATTCCCAGATCGTATGACCCACCTTCTGAAGTCCGACCGTTGTTGCATTGCTTGCGGTCCTCACTTGGTGCGTCGCACGGTTTTCTATTGACTGCAAATTATTTACGTACGGAAAATACATTCCTCGCGCGCAGCGCAGGGTACGGCGGAGCGCTCAAGTACTATACACAAATTTTATTGTCCTGGGTACAAACTGAGTACCATCTTTTTTAACCTTTTCTCAATTATTAGAGGTTCGGAAACACATAGGGTGTGAAGTGAGATCCGTATGCGGACCTCACTTTGTCGCGGTCCTCGCTTTGTATGTAAATTTTACATAGGGCGCCCTCACATTGTATGGTGGGCATATATATATATATAAGTAATCAGCGACAAAGTATTGTTGAGGCTGAAAATTTCGCAAGTGAGACATTAGGTTCTTTGAATGTTATATGACACGCACATTACGAAATACCAAAATATTTCCTTCGATCTATCAGTTGTCGGTCTGTCAATCTGAAATTTTGAAGAAAGTTTATGATTATCTCAAGGACGAAAGAGCTTATTTGTTTTTGTAAATCATACCAGTAACGGAGGAGCTATGGGTAAAGAACTAGAAAAAAATAAAAAAAATAAAAATTGACGGTATATCCCAATTTTTTGGCGTTACCGAATTTTCTTGTTCCATTTACCCTTAAAACAGAATGATAAATAAAAAAAAATTAAACACACGTTTCTCTGGATATATCCGGTAGGCAGACCAACCGATGGAGGTTGCCATGTCTGGAGGTTAGACAAAGTAACGGTGCGAGATGGTTGGCACTGTCGGGAGTGAAGTAATATCTAGATAGCAACGCAGTCACATAGGTGGGGACTACAGACTAATCGTATGGACGTGCTTGATTGACTTGATGAATTTAGTTTTTGCGATTATAAACGTTCGTCGCTTTTTTTTTGTCAAAAAGGCTAACTTGTGGGGTAAACCTCAGCCGATGAGATTCCTGCGTAGGAAGTGCACAGTCAACTTACATGACGCGATTTCTTGTTACTTGTACCTCTATAGAGAGTTTCAGTCTATTACTGTATTGAGGCATAAAGGGGCTGCGGTGCTCCAAATGAACTATTGGAAAGGTAATGTTATTCAAACACAGCACCATTATAACTGCATTTCTGACCTCTAGTTAGCTGGTTCCAGCTTGCTTTTAATTTTGTTAATGTAACAACATTACGGTTTCGATATCGGTTACCGCTTGTATTGGTTCTCTAATCGAATTCATTCACTTTAATTCGCTGCAATGCACATTAATATATTGGAATTGCAAATAAGCTCTGCATTAGTTCTACTGTACATGACATAGAGTCGAATAAGGACGGAGATAAGGGTTCGTTTCATATTTCGCGATGTACGAGTATATAACATGGTTGATGGATGGTCATATGTATGGTGGACTTCTCGATTTAGACAAATACCTCTTGACAGGTATTTACTGTACGAGTAATCCGTGAGTATTTATCATGAAATGTGATATTTATTGAACGTGTAGCATAGACATTAGTAATTATTGATGTATAAGGTTACATGAAAATCTATTGACGCTGACGAAATGACCAGTGACTATTGATGGCATGGGGCACAGTAAAGATCGTGTCACTTCAGCATCAAGGTGTCCCTCTCAGATTCATATAAATCACAAGTTACCATAACACCGTGGATAAGCAGCATGCTTTATCTCTGGACACGTCCGGAAAATTGGACATTTTCCGTACTATTCGTCAGAGCGGTCCGGTAGACCTTTGCTCTTAGTTAAAAGTCTCGTCGGTCTGTTAGTCTGTCAGGTCTGGCTACCCAGATACCAAACATGTTTAAGGGGAAAAGGCAAAGAAGGAAAGGAAGGAAGAAATAGAAGTAAATCATTTGAAATAGCTTAAGCATTATTTCTTTCACTACTCGAATTATTTTGTAACTCCAAAAAATAATTTTGATCGGTTTTGTATACTGAAATAATTTTGGCTGGTCTGAATTTACAATTTAATTTTGATCACAGTGTGAGGCACGGACTGGAATGCTTGCGAACTTGCTCGACTGTGTAGTCTACTAAATCACGCAACAGAGGGTTGCTGTGCGATTCCGGTTGATTATAACGCCGCTGCGCCTGTTATTTTACGTAATCCCTTAAATAAAGGATATCAAGATCTCTGTGAATAGTCTCATTTCACACGTACCAAGGGGCGTTAGTAATTGTGCGTAGGGTTCTGTTTTGCAGGACTTGCAGTCTCTACGTGTGCGTCTTGGCAAGAAAACACCAAGCCGCGCACGCGTAGGTGATTGCGGGTCTTTGACCATTTTATACAACCGAATCTTGTTGGTCAAACTTAATTTTGAATTTCTGCACAACAGAGGATAAAGCTGCCGAATGGTAATTTGGAATTTTGTTTTCAAAATATCAGTATGTTTCGGCCACGTTAACCCTTGTCAATGATGACTCCAAGATGCCTGACAGATGATAAATGCAGGTTGTCTATTGTACTTAGCCATTCAATGGCTGCGGAAAGATCGCCTGCAATGCCTGAGTGGCGCTAATCAGGGGACTTATTATTTGTTGAAGGGACCTAAGCGCAGTTGCTAGGTCCACATTCTGCGTGTTCAAAGTGGGTCGACCAGAGGGGGCAGCCGAAGGTTGAGACGGCTGCTTCCGCGTATGACTTACCGCGTCTTTGCGCTATGACTTCCAGATTTCGCCTGGGGGTGAATCTGCAAGTGGAACTGTTAGCGGGATGCGCCCCTCCACAGTTCGCACACTTTCGCTCCTCTTGTCCTGTGAGGGGGCATAAATGTGTCATGTGGTCGGGAGGACATTTTAAACATTTGGGAGGTGCTGTGCAGTAAGACTGCGCATGATCATACCTTTAGCAGCGGTGCCATTGCCCAATAAGTCGAGAGTTCTTTTAAACTTCAACTCTGATTGCTAGACCCAGCAGCTCATGTTCATTGAACAGCTGCTGGGACTTTTCAATCTTGGGCAGTAATAAGACCACCAAAGGCATGGGTGCGCCGCCACTGCGTTTGAATCGGATAATGTGGAGAGGAGTATATCCCCTCTGTTCTAATTCCCCTTTGATCTCCTGTTCCGAAAACATTGCGGGTATGCCTCTGAGTAACGCGTGAATATTTCGTTCTGAAGGTAGAGGGAACGTATGATAGGGCACGTCCGCCTCCCTGAACAGTCGAACGATTCTTCGGTAGTCATCCTTAGTTTTCGGCAAAATCCTGATTCCCGCATCAACGGCAACTGCGCGTTCTATCTTAATGCCTAAGCTTATAAAGGTGTAGTTTAGATGTCGTCACTTGGTTGCATCACGCAAATCAATGGGCGTGATTCGCCCCGTGCGTGAGATTGTTGAGATAATGCACCGTCAGTCGATGCAGTGGCCAAAGATTGAGAAGACGTGGTCGCTGCATCGACCGTCATAGGACAAGTGGCAGAAGAAGTTGATACGTTTAATGAAGCAGAAGGTTTTAAGGGGACTGTCAAGTTGAATTTTGATTTTGCTTTTAGAAGGGGTGGGAAGTCATCCGTCTTGTCGGTTTTGTTCTTTTTGTCGATGCATATTTTCCTAGACTTGGCCTGGATGAATCCGTCATTCTGTATTTCATCGTCGGTCGATGTCACGTCAGTTAAATTTTCAAGAGGTCTTTTTAAATTGACAGCCTTGTCAGATTTAGAATTAAAATTTGCATTATTGATTAACTGTGTTACTGTTTTGGTCCCTAACTGTCTCAGTCAGCTCCTTTATTTGCTGGGCCTGGCTTTCGATGATCAGGGTCTGGCGCTGGATGGTTATGTCCTTTTCGTCTGCTACAGCTGGTGTCATCAGTTCCTTTGATTTCTTGGTAAGTTCTGTTCTCTCCTTCTGGCTGGGTCCATTCATCATCGGGGACGCTGGGGGATCATTACTTTGACCTTCAGAGTATATGTCCATGTTTTTAAATCGGATTTTCTATTGAAAAACTTGAAAACTTTCACGAGCAAAAATATGACATATTGTCAATTATCCCTTATACAGGGCGAATGACATTTTGCGTTTGGCAGAATAATTTTCAAATATTTCATATAATGTATAAAAAACTAATTGCCTGGAAACAATTTCATGAATTCTTAAAGGTGAATTTTTTATACGGTATTTCAAAGTTTAACTTTAGATAAAGTTGTCGCAAGATCTGCGATTTTTTTTACCTTGCTAGACTTGCGTCCCACCTCCTGCACTTCAATTGTCACAAGAACATTTGCTCTCAGAAGGGCCGCTGACTAAGTGCTAAAGCATGCAGCCGCAGTCATTACTCCGCTCTTCAATTTTTAATCGCCGGTACGTGGAAGTAATTTTCGCATTTCGCAATTTCCGACAAATAGTTCCTAATAAGGATGCTAAATATACGCCATAAACAAAAAGTATACAATATCCATGATATATGGTAATTTCACATACTCAGTCACAAGAACAGTGAAAATGATTAGGTTTGAATGAAATCTTATATAAAGTTGGATATAGGTAAATGTAAGTCGTGGTTAAACTTTTAGATAGATATAATCTTATTTCACCCTTAGAACGGACAATTGCCTGTTCAGTCTAGAGTAGCCGGTGAGATCTCCTACCAAAAAATTGAGGATTCTCTACTTCTCTTCAGTATCCAGTGCGACCAAAGTTTGTCGTGACCTGTTACGAACCTCTTGACTTGCCTGCAATTACCTCTCTCACCACATTTTTTCCTGGTTCCTATAAGCCTACTCATTCAGCTGACCTGGTGTCTGCCCCTAACCAGCCTAGGATCGGGAACCATGTCCTCAGTGGCGCGTTATGGCACATGACTTTCCATCGTGCATAAAACCGAGACCAAGGAAATTGGGTATTAAGGAATGCATGCTGCCTGGAAAAGAGATAGGGGGTGCCGCGGGGAAAGATGTTCCACTCATAAAGTATGAGCTATTGTTGTCTTAAGGCCCTCTGTATATACTTCTGTAATTTTCTGGAGAATTAAGTTAACTGTGTCTCTTTTGTTCCAGATGTCTGGAGACGAGCAACGGCGGCTTTGTGCTAGCGCCGCCTCTAATGCTGCAGCAGACTCGCATCGAAGTAGCAGCGCTATTGGAGGTGGAGGAGGTGGAGGCATCACCTTGGCCCTTACAACATACGGCAGTGTTGCGTATCAGCTGAAGGACGCCAATTTGGAAGCCAACAGTACGTGCGACTTCGTTTGCAAAGCTCTGTCTATAGTTAATAAGACTGGTAAGTAAATTCTTTTAAGGTGGCTTGAGATATCTTGGATATGAACTGCGTGGTAGAGCTGAGCCAAATTGTCCCTTGTAGCAATTCAACTAGTTTCGGTCCCGATTACCTTGACCCATCAGTTTTTTTGTGTTAAACTTATAACAATACTCTTTTATGAAATGATGATAGTATTGCGTGGGGTAGTGCACTCGCCATTTCATTATCTGGGAGCTGGTGTTTAAAGTGAGTGTCATTTATTTTCTTTTCACTTATTACTTTCGGCATAAAAAAGCATCGTAAAGCTTACTTACATTATTACCTTGATTCAAATATCTGCCTGCTGAGCAGAGTTCTTACTAGCTTTAATTAATCTGCAGCTCGCCTGAATAGCTCTACTACTGAGCCTTTTATCTAATATGTTGATTTATTAGACTGACATGTAATACTTACCTATGCGTCCCTTTTCTGAATTTGCTGCAAGTAAATATAGAGAAGCAAAGTGCTTCAAATATTATGTTGAGGCAAATAGCAGTTGACAAACTTCGCTGCATGTTTGTCTTCCTTTATCCGCGTGCAAAGGTTCCAAAGTTTGTAAAGAATAATACAGCTTCAAACTAAACACTTCTATCTAATGTAGCTTGGACATTTTTGAACACATTTAACCTTTTCAAGTGTTTACTGGTAGACTAGCTCAAAATTTACGGCATACTCTTATGAGAATATAACGTGCAACATTTTTTAAAAGAATTAAGTGCTTTACCACTACTTTCATTTAATAATCTGTCAGTTCGATGTCATTTTTGAAGAATCAGAAAGCTCTCATCATGTGAATGACCCCTATGCGTTTGCCCGGATACCATTGAAATCATTTGGCGCGACATCAAATATTTTGATACAATACATATATGTATCATTATTTTTATTAAACAAAATAGCTAAATTTAAGTACACTCCAGAACAAAAGTACAAGAAAATATACGTAAATATGCTCAGGAGCTTCTGACTTTATTTTTCTGTACTATGCAATGACATATTGAATCTAAATTTTAGCTGACCGACCTTTGGAGCAGCATATGCCTTGTATCTTGACACTTAGACGACAGTATTGGTTTTGTCCTTTCGTAAAGTTTCGGAAATTCACACATTTAATCCCCCATATCTCGCTGTTCAATCTAAAAATTCTTCTTTATTGTAAACGTCTCGGTCACAACGGTGTCCTTCCAGGTTTCTCCTCATGATTTGTTGTTGCATCTTCAGGACAAACTGTATTATTTTCTTACAGCGCAAACAACATGGTTTCCTTTAATTGTCGAAGTACCACTTCTCGCGTTTCAGGTCCATTTACAACATTTTAGTCGAGTATGGCATAAGTCTCAAACGGTGTGTTACGATAACAGTTCTGGGTGGGTTTTCGCGTTTTTTCGAAGGCTTTCGGCATGTTCCGGACAATGGACCAGGGTAACACATCTGCCACATTAAAAAAGCGACAGGTAATCTCATGCTCGTTTGTCGTTTTGGAGGACTGGACGTCCTTTCTTGGGAGCAGGAATGCTTACCCTCAGGCGGTCCTGGGATATGCTGGTTTTGCGTGGATTGGAATATGAAAATGCCAACAAGAAACAAATTAAGTGTTACCTCGAAGGCAGTTAAATATAATATTGTCAAAGTCATTGTACTGAACAATCATCATTGAGACCGAAACGTTTACAATAGAGAAGCTATTTTCAAGATATGTGGTTTCGATTGACCAGAGAAATATGAGAGACTTTCGACATGAAAATCAAAGGATAATTTAAGATCTTACATTAACAACAATTCTGTAACATACAATACTGAGTAGGCCATATTTTGCTAGTGCGACAGAGAGATCCTTACATCGTCTGGCTCTTAACCGCTCAACGATGAAGCAATGCGTCACTATCTCGATCGACTGTCAAGTGGTGGGAATACTAAGTATCTACAAAGCATACCAGCATTGGCTTCCTGTGCGTAACATGGATAAATAGACACCACAGGTCTATTTCAGGCGTTTTGCTTCACAATAGTATTATCTAATAATATAGCAATATGATGACGGTATTAACAACTGTTGATATCGATTTTGCACATTATTCGTATAGAATTAAGTATCTGAGGGCGTCAGCTCTTATATTCACACGAAAACGACATTCATTAAATATTTTTCTTTGTTTCAGTTATAGTGACCATCGTATTGGTGTGCTTGTCCATTCTACCTCTCATCATGCTTATTATGGGTGAGTATCTATAGCAGACAAAACAATAACAATTGTCTGTTAAATATACTTCAAAATATTTATGAGGGTATAAAATGCAACGCGTATACCTCGAACTATTTATTTTTTTCAGTTATTTGGCAGCCTCGCAGTTATGTTTCATTACTATTATTATGTATCACTAACCTATCATCCAACAGTACCCAGCATGTCTTTAATGGAAAATAAGTTGTGAAGTCGGCAATTCAAGTTTCAGCATCACAAAGTTGGGAAGTCAATTGTTGAGAACCTCGAAAGGCCAGACAACGTAGCAACGTCGGGCCGCATGAACCGTCTTCCACCTTTTTCATCCGCCATCCATGAAGATGAACACATGTATTTCGTAGACTCATTACTTTAATGTAAATTCTTAATAAAACTTGGCTACGAGTAAAGTTCAAGTTAGTGTCCACAAAGCAGAAGCAACATACAGTCCATTAACAGCAAATTACACAATAGTTATCTAGATATTGCTTTTTGAAATCATCTATCTCAACTGTACAATTAAGTCTTCAACTTCAACAAAAAAATATATATGTGTTGCCACAGTTTGTTCGATACAGTGACTCAACCGTCTCAGTATGGAAAACGAAAAAAAAAAGAATGCACTTTCTACAAAATAAAAACTGCTCATTTTATCACCTACAGAGGTGGCAAGCATGACTCCTGTTCCCCTCCGTAAGTAAAAGAATTGCTTGCTTATCTTTGTACGCATGGAGGCTTTTCAGCAGAACATCAAGGCGAATAAGATGTGTGGGATATTTTCCAACATCTTTTTCTTCTTTGGGAGGGAAATTTTACTTATCACCTCTTAAAGGGTAGGTACATTGAGATTATTTATCTTCCGTATTTTCAAATTTCCATTGCGTTTCTGCTTTGCCGAAACGTTAAAAAAAGCTAATCCTACATATATGTGGTTTTATTTAGGGGACAGAAAACATTGAAACCTATCAGCATGAGAACTACAGATTCAGATGTTACATTAACTATGAGAGAGAAACGTCAAAGATAACTTCTAAAGTTCAAAAATAAAATATGACGCGAAAGTAGTGACGTAAAAGTTGTAGCATGACATCATAAGCTTTTCTTTCGTACTGTTCGTTGAATGTTTTTTTTATATATCGAAGCAGCCGCGCAGGCAGAAGCCCAAATGCCGGAACACCGCGGCTACTACGATGATCCCAAAGAAATTTTGTTAATACGATTTTTGAACACCCTCGGGACAAAGGAGCGGTCTTATCGGCCAGTTCTGGATGTACGAAGTTCGACACGGTTAGGATGGGACGCCAAAGTTAGGCGGGTCTGTCTGGCAGGCACATCGCGCGACGGCATCATGGAAGAGAGCTCTGAGGAGCAAAGCCCGTTGGTGTAACGGTAGAAAAAAGCCAGATCGCCGACGGCCCGCCGGTGCGAGAGAGTCCCGAGACTGTCTGTTAGAGAAGAGTCATCGATCAGCCGGACCGCCCTCCTCTATACAGCATGGAGCATGGATAATGTAGTCGGGGCGGCAGCACCCCAAACGTGTGAACAGTACTCGAGGCTAGACCTTATCCTGGGCCTTGTATAGAGTGAGAAGGTGATGCGTAGAAAAGTACTTCTTAGCCCTGAACAAGTAGCCTAGCTTTTTCCCAGCAGCTGCAGCCACTGACGAAATATGTTCGTGCCAGATCAGGTCCTCGGTGATCTGGACTCCGACCAGCCGAAGTGAATGTCTCTTTGGCAGAACTCGGGCATCCATCGAAACTGGATGAGCGGTAGGACGCTTTTTGTTCGTTAAAGTACAGTACTTTGCTTTGAAAGCATTGAACTGTACAAGATTGTTGCGTCCCCAAGCAGTGATAGCCTCCAGGAATCTTGTCAGAGAGGAAGTCGTCGCTAGTATTCTGTTTTTCCAGCTCAGCGGCAGAGATCGGCTTGTCACTCTGAATTCCTGCATGTAGAGTGCTGTCATCAGGGAAGTTGTGGATTGGGTTGATCCTGCAGGAAAGGAAGTCGTTGATATGTAAGAGAAACAGTGTCGGAGCCAAGACCGATCCCTGGGGAACACCCGCGTTGACGTTGTGGAATGTCGGGATGTCAAGAGCAATGGCCTGAGCCTCACCATAAGACTGGATGAGCTTACTCCACAATTGCGTGACGTAAGCTAGGAGGTCCCCTGTGGATCGTTGGTGCCGGAAACGATACTGCCTGTCGCTAATCAATATGTGACGTTCGAGGTAGTCCAGAAGCTCGCGATTTATGCACCTCTCCATCACCTTACTTATAACAGAAAGCAGAGCTATAGACCTGTAGTTGTAAGGGTCGGTCTTAGATCCTTTTTTTTGAGTGGGTTGGACATGAGCAAATTTCCAGTTTTTTGGTAAGGTGCCGGATTCATAAGATATCTGGAAGAGACGTGAAAGAACTGGAGCAAGCTCCGCTGCACTCCTCTTCAGTACAATGGCATAGTGTAGGGAACTCTTTGGATTGACGGCACTTGGGCGTTGGGAGGAACGTCCATGGAGGAGTTAGCAGCAAAGATCTTGGCTAGCACTTCTGCCTTGGACTTTGAGTTGAATACTCGAATAATCCTGACGCGTAAGTGGTAGAAGGCTACTGTGTGAGAAGTTCTTTTCGATCTGCTTGGCCAGCGTCTAGAAAGACCGACTACCATTGCACTGCGACATTACCCTGGGCCTAACTTTTATATCGTGCTGGTTTTTCCCGACCCGACGTCGGCATGTCTGTTCTCTACAGTAAGGTTTTGTAAGATGCTTGTGTGTGCCTTGATCTTCTGACGGTGAGCAGTGTCACACAGTTTGTTAAACCAGCCGTTGGACGCTGGTTTAGGCACTTCCACTGTGTGAGGGATGTATCCCTCCATTCTGACGTGGATAATTTCGGTTACACTGGACAACAAATTTTAGTTTTTTAATTGTGGGAAAAGTGCACTTTTTTGTTAATTTTGGGGCGCTGAATCCAAAAATGACAATGAAATAAAAAAATTAGTTGCGGTTTAGAAAAAAAATTTTTTATTTTTAAGGATATATTAAAAAAGTAACAAGATTCATATACTTATAAGAATCACTATATGCGCTGTCTTTTTGCTGTTCTTTTATGGATCGTTTCTGGAGCATCTCTACCAAGAGTCCAACAGTAGTCTGCAGGCATGGAAGGATTTCCCTGGTACCTTTTTTCCATTGTTGAAATATCCTGATGATAACGTTCGCAAGAAATTAGTGACCACCAGACGGAAATCATTCCAAGCAGTTTTTTCAACACCTGTTAAAGTGTTTTCAAACTGTGTATCTTTCAAAATATTTCTAATCTGTGGCCCAACAAAAATACCTTCTTTAACCTTTGCCTCACTTAGTCTTGGAAATTTCTGACGCAGGTATTGAAAAGCTGACCCATCTCTATCTAATGCCTTGACAAAGTTTTTCATTAGGCCCAACTTGATATGCAGTGGTGGTAATAAAATTTTTTTCGAATCTACTAATGGCATATGCTGTACATTTTTTTGACCTGGCTCTAGGAATTGACGAACAGGCCAGTTTTGTCTGGTGTAATGAAGTGCCTTTGCCCGACTGTCCCATTCACACAAAAAACAGCAAAACTTTGTGTAGCCTAGCTGCAGCCCAAGTAAAAGTGCAACAACTTTCAAATCGCCACAAATATGCTCATCGTATTTTATGCATGTCAAAAAGTACTTCATATTGTCATATGATTCTTTCATGTGAACTGCATACCCTACAGGAAGAGATGGTAAAATATTTCCAATATGCAATAACACTGCCTTTAAACTCAGTGTTGAACTGTCTATCTATCTAACAATCTCCATTCTTCTGGTTTATAGTTTATATTTAAAGGCGCCAGTAAGCCGTTAATGTTACTGCAGAAAACCAAGTTATTCGCCATATCGAAAAATGGTTCTAAGTCTTAAGTCTTTGTGGCGTTTACGAAAAACACATACCGAAACATCGTCTTCTAACAAGTTCCACTGCTGCAGTCTTGATCCAAGTAACTCTGCCTTACATTTTGGAAGTTCTAAATCTCTTACAAAATCATTTAATTCTGACTGTGTTATTTTGTGCGGTTGGTGGCATGACGTGCTCGGTATAAAATCAGGATCTCTTGACGTTGATGGCATATCTTCTTCCTGACGAATCACTCGATCGACATGATCTGATTCGTTTTCTGATTCGCAAGTGTAGGATTCTGGGGGTTTTGGAATAGGATTTTCGTCACTGTGAGGCACAGGTCTCATCGCAGGTGGTATGTTTGGGTAGTTAATAACCGATTTTTTTTTCTTGGACATACCTGTGGCTTGTCCAACACAAGGTACCATGCAAAAGTAACAATCATTAATATGATTTGTAGGCTCACTCCAAACCATTGGGATAGCAAAGCGCATAGACCGTTTTTTGCCCACTGTTTGTCTTGATCACCTAGTTTACAACCGAAATAAAGCTGATATGCCTTTGTTATTAGTGGAGTAATAGACCGTCTCTGAGACGCAAAAGTCACATCACCACACACGTAACAAAACTGATCTGGATTGTTTACACACTTTCGAGACATCTTGCATGAACGCTGTCAGCCAACTGAGGAAAAAATGGCTAATATAAAACAATATAATGTACACGTATGTATAACGTAACACAATCATGCCGATTACATCATCTTTCCTTGCCGAATATAAAAATGTAGCACGTGCATTCTTGTGAATTACAGTATATTAACACTGTCACAGCAGGAACACATATAATTACCGTATCTCTAAAACTTGAACTAATATTGAAAAAATAAGTTTCATTCCGGTTTTAACACATCAAAAATAGTAATATTTTGTTGATTTTATTTAGGATATTTTTTGGCTGTTGATCAGTGTTATCGAAGATCAGATAGCCGACGCATCCGCGTCAGTGAAACAGGCATCTTTCCAAGGAAAGCTAGAGAATAATTATTATCTGAACCCCTCCCAGTCGGCATGTCCGTAATGCCGAATGTTGTGGCCCGTACGAGTTTCTGCTGCCACAGCGGGTTCTGACCGAAACCTATCCGCCACAAGACCGTGGTCTGAGTTACCCAGGGGGACAGGACAGCAGTGCTGTAAGGGACAGGATACGTGGTCAGAAAGAGATGCAGAAGGCTACTGGCTTTTGACGAGACGCGGGGAAAAAGTAAGGCTCGTCACCAGCTGGGTTAGCCATTGAGTAACAGCGAACGCTTCGACTTCACGACTTGCCGCATCAGTCTTGTTTGAGCCCAACCAAAGCCAATTATGGGCATAGAAGTCACCGAGAAGAACTACCTCTGAAGCGGGATGATTGATGTTCTGGAGGTCGATCTGGACGGCGAGGTATTCGAGTAGGTCATCCCAGTTATGGTCCAAGGGAAAGCGAGAAAGGCAGCAAATAAATTTGGGTGATGTTTTGGAGTTCAGACGAAGTCACAGAATGTCTTTCGGACCCGATTCCAAAGAAACATCTCTGGTGCAGGAAAGACTGCTGCGGACAAAAGCCACAACTCCTTTCTCAGATTGGAGTGCACCTCGTAGTTTGGGAAGTTAAGATGGTTAGTCGGTGCAGACCCTGAGATTTTTGTCTCCGCCAAGAAAACCACGGCGGGACGATTTGATTGCAGGTAGTGATGATCAGCATCAATGTTGCTGTTAATTCCGCAGATGTTCGAGAAACAAATATTATCTTCGATCTTGTTCCCTATAGCCCACCATCCATCCGGACATTCCGTGACCCTCGTCTTGCCATAAAGGCATCTGGCATTGACAGTTTGACTTGAAATGTCTAGCGAGGTTTTATCCGTATCTGAAATAATGAATCCCTATTGGTAGATTCCTTCAGCGGGAAATACTGGAGGATTATATCACTCAGTTTTCAATGCATAGATTTCGAATAAATACGTCTCTCTGCATCAATCTTGAAATCTGGATGCAAATATTGATAATGGGTTTTAACAATACAATTTCGACAAGGTAACAGATACAGGTCAATGAACAGTCTGGTCGTCTAGTTTTTTTCTTCGTCAAATTCCGTTCAATATTTACACACTTATGACAATACTAAAGGTACGTGGATTCATGTGATTTGTTTGAGCTTCGCAAGTAGCCAGCCTCGCCACTAAACATATAGGAACATATCAAAGTTTCGCAACTATACATGAAACGACCTACATTCAACATTTAGGAAATTCTCGCAGTATAAAATGAAAAAAGTTAGAACTCAGCAGTTGCCGAAGTTTGAAAATTGTCAACAACCGGTTGTTCTCGATTCCCATTTTTTATGAACTTTCTGGAAATAAGGGAGTTTTGCAGGTTTACTACTCCCAAGGAGCAACTTCGAGGGTAAGCAAGGAAGCGTTGCAGCGTGTATAAATCATTGATCTGCTCCTGCTTCCTCTAAGCTACGTTTTGCTCAAACATGCGGTCTTCCGAGGGTCATTCTTTAAGTAAAGGAGTATGAGAAACTTAATTCATGAATGTAAATTGTATCCCAAAGTAAAATATATTTTTTCATTATTCAATAGGGTCACTATAATTATTTAAACATCAAACCGTAATGCTCTGTGGGGAAGGATTACCGAGGTTTAATTATCCTATAAACTTTTTTGTTTGTCGAGATAATGACACAAAATAAATGTAGCAGGACTCGGTAATGCATGCTTAATCAGATTAATGGTTCGTGAGAACGGTCTCAAACAGAAAATGACTTGTGACCGTTCGAAGTTGTTAAATCATGCGGAGTGAATAAAAAACTTGAGGTTCAAGATTCGGTTACAAATTGTATTTTTTCGGAACTCAGCTTTATTTATAAAAGTTTTGTCGTCCACTACCTTTCCAACGTTACAATATTAATTCGTGTAAATAATTGGTACGCGGTCAAAATAAGAGAAAACATTTGGTTTGGTCAATTAATTCCTTGACGTCCTTATTTAGTTTGAATCAGTTATAAAACTCAACCTTACCTGGCATTCGCTTCAGAAGTTGTTTGTTCTGCCTTCTACAGAATCAGCAGGTATCTCCTTTTGCTAGGCTCCCCGTTTTTTTAGTCGACAGTACCCTCTTAATACCCCTACGAAGGCATTTCTTAGTCTAGATTTCTTGATGCAAACTGTATCCTCACCACAGCACAGCTCTGGACTTATTACTCAATTTAACTTTGAACTTGTTTATTTGGATTCTAGTAGTTTAAGCTTGGCGTGATGTGATACACATGCTATCCAAAAATTAATTTGAGCGTCGGAGTTTAAGGTCTAGGAGAATATGCATTGGTAGTTAAGGCTTATAACATTTGTAGCAATTACTTTTAAATCATTTTTAAATAAAATTGTTTACTTTCTCGACCAACAGTTACAAATGTAAACCACGGATATTAGCATCCTAGTACGTCTTATGGCACAAGATGTAGCGGTGTAACTTCAAATCGACATGGACAATAGGTAGTCCTAAACCTACTCGTTCAATCGCTACATCTATTTTTCGAATCCAGTAGAGACAGTCATTTTTAAAACAGTTAGTAACTTGAAAACTTAAAAAAAAGTTATTGGCCAATCGACTGTTTGCTCTCATTTTGACCGCACAACAAATCATGTCTACGTGTATCATTGAACCCGCAATTTGGAAGGCCATGATTTTTTTAGACCATCTGCACAAACTATCCAACTCCTCTGATTGAGCATGAATTACAAAACCCAATCTCGTTTATTTTGTATTATTATCTCGACAAGCAAAAAGTTATAACGATATTTATGCGGCATTTAGGGAATTCAGCATGAAGACCAAAAAATAATACATATCTCGGTAAATGTAGCATGATTTCGCTTTCCTCTAAAAATCACGCGAATCAATCAAATAGTGTCACCAATTACAAGAAACATTGTCGGTTCGTGTACCAAACCAAGCGTTTCTGATATACCTTTCTAGGCAAATATATGTCTCAAAGATAAATTTATTTGGCAAAGGTCAATAAAAGTCCTCAACGTACCAAGTTACATGTGAATATATGGCAATGAACTAGCCAGCTGATCAACATTATAAGAAAAAAGTGCATCATTTTCTTATAAAATCTGTTGTGGTTGAAAACCGAGGAAAACTGCAGGTTTTGGCACTTGTTGGTAATGCGACGACGGTTTTTCGCAGATATTTGAAATTCTTCAAATTCGTAGGATTCGTACTTCTAAAGAACCACAACAAAATTGGAGTAGATTGGTCAAGTAGCCTTTGAGAATTTCGAATTGTTTACCCCAAAACACCTGTCTTCCGGCCATCACTACTAGCCTAGTAAGCAACATACAGGGTAAATGTTATTTTTATGCAAAAAGAATGCGTTACGTTTTCTAAACAAATTCAAACATGTCGTATTTGTGAGTAATTTGCACCAGAAGATCATAGACATATCCGCTTTGTTTTAAAATGTGTATAGTAATGCAAGTTTTCCGCATATCGTAGCGCATTTGTTCAATTACTCACAAATACGAAATGTTTGAATTTGTTTAGAAGAAAAAACGTATACCTTGTTTTTCGCATAAAAATAACATTCTTTCGAAATGGTTTGTGATATAACATCAAGGTAAGAACAAGTGGGTTTTGCTATTAAATGCTCTTTGAACGAACACTGTATAGTGCTCAATAAACTAGTAGTGATGGGCAAAAAACAGGTGTTTTGGGATAAAAAATTAGAAATTCTCAAAAAACTGCTTGACCAATATAATCCAATTTTGTGGTTCTTATTCAGAAGTATGAATCCTACGGATTTGAAGGATTCCAAGTAGTTGCGTGAAATTATCGTCGCATTACCAAGTGCCAAAAGCTGCATTTTGCCTCGTTTTTCGGCCATAACCTTTTTGCTATTAGTCGGATCGTTTTTCATGTGGTCTCATAAATACCTAAAAATCTCATATGAACTGACTTTTCGTTTCTGCCAACACTTTTGATTAAATCTCAAAAAACGAGTTATCTCATTCTTCATTGTCAAATAAAAAGTTTTCCCACAAAAATTTGTGTACCCATTATATGCGTCCATATTTTGAATACCCCCTTAAACAACTTGCGCCAATAAAATCAGACTTCACAGTTATTTCGGGGAAAGTTGCTAATATGATTAGACTAGTATTAGTTTGTGACATTTCATGCCGTATTAGTGTCAAGTGAGAAGTGGTTAAACTGAGTGATAGGTAACATTTATCAATAACTAGAAAGATGCGACATTCAAGCTACGATATAGCAGAAGCTGTCAGATTGAGTAATGCAGGGTTTCGAAGGGAGGTGAAATTTTTGTTTGTCTCTGAGCTATTATGTGTTCACCTACAGGAGATAGAGTGTATCAAGCCCTTGTGAAGGAAATGCTGAAAGACCAGGAAATTACAAAGCTCCTTCGATTGTATTATAATGAATAGAAGGGTTACTCAGGTATCTGATAACTCAAAAGGGACGACGAAGGGGACAGTTCAAAGGATCAGCAATTTCATTAAGAACTTGGGCAGGACGTCAGCTAATACCTGCAAATAGGGGTGCACAGTAAGAGATACGGCTGAGTGGCATCTGTTAAGAAACTGAGCTTTGACTCCGTTGCTACTGAAAAAGAAAAGAGACTCGAAAAACTGTAGCGCTTTACTTAAAAAAAAACAGGAGCATCACAATTATCCAGCGAGTAGTGATAATAAAAATGTCAGGAATTTGCGATTATTATACCTTCTAGTAAATACATCAGTAATGTCTGAAAGCATTTCTATTCCGCTCTGTTTGATCATTCTCATCCTAAAATTAAACTTATAACCCCTATAAGTTTATGCTGGCGGTATTAAATGTGTCTATTTCGTAACAATTTGAAGCAATTTTGTGGAAAGCAGTCGCCGTAAAAGTGTGTTTTAGCAGTTCTATTCTCTAAATGTCGCTCCATTTCATTGAAACTGGCGCTATATTGCCACATTTAAATTCGGAGGGAATACCGGGGTTGGCTTATCGATGCTTTCCAGTGGGCGTGTTAGTAGACAATCACACTCAGTTCTTTCCCATTCAATTCCATAAGGCTCCACCGCCTCTACGGTTTTGGTGATAGCGGTGGGAAGAACTGAACTTGTTTGTTTCAGTTAGTTCAACTGTCTCCGTTGCTACTGCTGTCGAGTTTGATGTACTCCTATTGAGTCCTTTCAGCTTCAATTTGCTTCACTGTGGTTGGCTAATCACCTTTACTATGGGTCATCATACTTTCACAGTGACTGCAGTCAATAGCTCTGTCTCCTTCTGGACCTTATTCTGGGCACAACCCTTTATAATCGTCCACTTGAGTACCTGAAACAGTTGTGCCATCTTAATAGCCTTAATGATGCACAAGATTATTCTTTATCTCGGTTACTCTTCTATTATCTAATGAGCTCATAACATAACCACCTATTATATTTATGAAGCAAGACCTTATGTCCGACGACTTCAATATGCAAAAACAATCGCCTACAGCAGTTCATCAAGGCACAACACACTATGTTTCTTTGCAGTAGCACATAAAATGGTGAAGATACTGTAAGAAACAATATTTTCAGAAAAACCCGACTGTTTTACAAGATGCACGTCACTTTGACAAATCTACACAATGAAAGTTTCCGCCTAACACGTGATCAAAAACATCATGCCATATCCCCTAGAGATTGTACGAGTATATCAACGGCATATTATATAGGGCGCCCTTTACAGAGCGTATAGATCAGGCAATAATAAGCATGCGTTTTTAGTAACATACGAGTATATACCAAAGTTTTGAGACAACCGAGATATTACGCTCCAAAAAGCAATAAATGAACTGTACGATACTGTCACCATCCCTTCTCACAATCCCCTCCTAGGCCAAAACGTACATCATACGTCGAAGACTATAGAGATTTTTTAGCGAGATCCCGTAGTGAACCGGAGCGGGAACAGATGGACTTTCCCCTTCCTCTCGAAGTTTTGACAGTTTCAAGTTCAACCGGGAGTGGCTAGATGGCGCATGCTGTGCAAAATGTTTGCTTTAAGCTCCTTGATAAACTTAGCTGCCTTGTTTGAATCTGAAATAACAAGACCGATCGTTTTTTGTGCAATGTACTTATATATCAATGAAATCAATCATTTGATATGAAAAGTGCGGTTCATATATCTTCGATGATCTTCTCCCTCGTCATTTAAAATCAGGTGGACGTGTTCCTCCATTTATGATTTAATAATTTAACTTAATTTTCAGTACTGCGAAGACAAATTTTCAATTGATATGCTTGTTTTTAAATGACATTGCCATAAGACCTGTCACCCGCTAGTACCTCACAGACGTTAGGCGGGTACCCGCACCACGTGATATTTTGACATTCGGACGACGTCACATCCGTCTTCCCCTATTCCCGTTCTTCGCGTAAATTTGACTATCGGTTCCCGGTAGTGCACTGGGCTGCACCGTGGACTCACGAAAAAATCTTTTATGTGAGTCAGTATCCAAACCACGCGTCGCGAGGTGTCTATACCCCTCGTAGTCCAATTACGCCCAGACAAAACACAACATGCCCAAAAGCGAGGTTTTACAGGTCCGTATTTTCCTCAATAGTCTTGGAATAATCTAACAAAATAAATGAGTATCTTTATAGAAAGAAGTGAACATACTTTTCACAATATTCTTTATTAGCTGGAAGTACTTGAATCATCGTCCGAATGATTAATATTAATTATTACAGATTCAATTTGAATATCGATCATATTGTCCATATCCGACATCTTTGTTTCGATTGTCGAACGTGACGGATGCAATCTTTCCAATGGTTTGCCGTCACTCTGTTGACATCTTCATAAAACAAATTTTTCACGTCTGAAAATTTGACTGTTATTTTGTTTGAAGCCAAATAGTTTTTTATATACTAAGTGACATATAAATCCGAAAACCCAGTTTAAATGGTTTTATTTTAATAAAATTGTGTATAAGTATTTAATGAAGCATAATAAGTAAATGATAAAAATTTCAAAATGATTGCACTGCTTTAAAGCCCTTTGACCTTTAATAATAATGTATGAATGCACCCTGATGTGCTACGCATTCTCCAACGCGCCTAGGCATGCTTCTGATCAGGTGGTCAATGTCCTCCTGTGGTATCTCATTCCAGGCAACCACCAACTCCTCTCGAAGTGCTTCTAGAGTCTGAGGAGCACGTTGCAAATTGAGCAATCTCCTACCCATCATATCCCACACGTGCTCAATTGGGGATGAGTCGGGAGATCTTGGTGGCCATGGTAACAATGTGACATCATTGTGTTGAAAGAAGTGTATTGTGACTCTTGCAACATGTGGTCGGGCATTATCTTGTTGGAAAGTTGGATCTGCCAGGGTGTCAAGATAGGGTAAAATATGGGGTTCTAGAACTTCGTGGATATAACGCTGTGCGTTCATGTTACCTCTGATGAAGATTAAAGGTGGCCTGGAACCATAAGCTATAGCACCCCAAACCATAACTCCAACAGTGTGATGAACATGTCTTTCAATAAAAAACTGTGGATTCCTCCTTTCACCACGTCGCCTTCCAACCCTGGCACGACCATCGTGCATGCCTAAACAAAATCGAGACTCGTCACTAAAGACAATACTGTTCCATTCCTGATCCCAGAGTGACCGTTGTCCGCACCACTCAAGGCGATTACGTCGGTGTTCTCGAGTTAAAGGGAGGACCCAGTGTGGCCGGTATGAAAACAAGCCAAAACTTCTCATTCGTCGGTAAACACTTCGCATGCATCCGTGTTCTGCAAACCATTCATTTGCAATGGACCTGGTAGTGGAGAAACGGTCCCTTAAGGCCAATAACCTTAGGCGGCGATCTTCACGGTCTGTTGTTCTACGGCGGCGTCCAGTGCCCCTTGCTCTTTGCGTACGGCCTTCTCGAAGCCATGCCTGACAACACCTAACAACAGTGTCTACACTTCTTTGCACTCTAACTGCAATTGCCCGAAAAGAAAGTCCAGCTTCCCTAAGTCCCACTATACGGCCCCTATCAAACTCACTAAGTTGACGAAATCGTACAGGTCTCCGTACTCTAGGCATCGTAACCGATCGTAAAGGATGTCAAGAACCAAAATCCGCCAACGTTGATTCTTTACTGCGGCTGAAATATTCATTTTTAGAGCGTCAGTGAATTAAAAAAAAGCAGTATAAAAACCGGAATGTCCAACTGATAAGGCTGAAAATTTTTTCACTTGTTATTTACAGTAAGATAAATACATTCACCAACTTTTATTAAAATAAAACCATTTAAACTGGGTGTTCGGATTTATATGTCACTTAGTATATTTGCCAAATCATGTCAATCGGTGATTGAATAAATGAAGGCTTTGACGGCGAATTCTGTCATTTAGGTTTTTCGGGCTGTTGAGTAGTGGTCGGGCTGGATTTGAGCCGGAGCTTTCGGCTACATCTGCGGTAGCCATCTTCAGTGGCACTGACGGCGAGAGCGAGGTGCTCGGCTTGGCGGGTTGACTGAAACTGATCGGTCAACTGGATGGGCGTGCGGTCACAATGGAGATAGAAGAGGACAATCAACTGGCCTTCCTAGACGTATTGGTGGTCAGATTAGAGAACTTTAAGCTGGGTCACAGAGTTTACCGCAAGACAACAAACACTGACAGATATCTGCACAAGGACTCCAACCATCATCTTGGACAAAAATGAGGTGCCACTAAAAATCTGATAGATCGAGCACATCGAATTTGTGAACCTCAATATCTGCAGAGGGAACAGGATTATGTTTAACATGGCTTTACAAGCAAACGGCTATCGCAGGGAACAAATAGAACATGTTTCACGACAAAAAAGCAGACCGCCGGCAGGAGACAAGGAACCACCTGCGGGAGTCTCCTTTCTATCATACATTGAAGACATTACAGATAGAATAGGAAGGTTGCTGCAGAAACACAACGTCAAGGCCATCTACAAACCGACAAATAAAATCCTGCAACTCCTAACATCAATAAAGTATACGTAGGCACCACTTAACGTAGCTTCCAAACACGCATCAAGGAGCATGAAAAAACTGTCGACTGGGACAAACTGATAAATCGGCGGTGGCCAAACACGCACGGCTGCAATGTTCTGTTCGACCAAACTATCAACATCCACCCACTACTCAGCCCGAAACTACAGAGAAGCGATTGAAATCTACAAACACAATGATAATTTCAATAGAAAAGAAGAAAGCTTTGCTTTAAACTAAACGTGGCTTCCAATTCTAAAAGACACAGCGCAAAAACCACGTCACTCAAGGGACCCAGAGTACCCCCACCAGACAGCTAAGCTCTCAGTCCACCGATCGCCTATAAAACCACACGCCCATCCAGTTGCCGAGCACTTCGCTCTCGCCGACAGCGCCACTGAAGGTGGCTACCGCAGATGTAGCCGAAAGCTTTGGATCAAATCCAACGCGACCACGGCTCAATAGCCCGAAAAACCTAAATGACATTTCAATGGGATTTAATCTGCAGTCATAAAGGGGTATCCTTAAAACGGTCTCAGTTTGGTTTTCAGCCGTTTCGTCAATAACATTAGGATTATATTTATATTTGTGCTGCCTGACTAG